ATGTAACTGTCAATAAAAGCCTTTGACACTTATGCAAATGCTTGTACTTATACTTCAGTATACTATCGTAACATCTCCACGAAGATCTTCGAACACTGGAGCAGCAGACCTTGTGAGAATTAATCTTTGTGTCATTCTCAAAGCTTTTGGCCAGGACTGTAGAATGTATGCTTGGTAGTCAAAACACCCAGAGGTTATGGATTCTTCCTCAGCTCGGCTATTTTTTTTTCTTGATAGCTATGAATAAAAATCACCCCTAGAGAAAGTTCCTGGTATTCTCTGCCTGTCCTCTATGGAGACTGAGCCCTCTGCTGTACTGCATTGGGACTGGCCAGCCTTTGAACATTTTAAAGTATATGTACACTGAATCCTTAGAATAGCTTGCACATGTGGTGGGTACCACCACGCACCAAGTTCATCTAATATTAACTCGGCCACATTTATTTCTGTTGGCTAAAGGGTGTTCAAACAATTACAGGAGGGACTGATGACCTGCTTCCAAGCACGACACACCTATGGAGGAAGGAATAAACCAGCAAGTCTTTAGGGTTAGGGTTAATCTACTAAGCATGCATGAGTTTCATGTGGAAGATTTCAAGGATTCTTTAAATTAATAGCATTACGGGATATCCTCTTGCATAGATGTGCTTAAAAGGAACCTTCTGAGTTAGGAGGAAGTCTAATTTTGTGTCTCAGCTTGTGCTCTCTTGAGTGGTGTTTGGAAAGCACCTGAAGCCAATAAAATTAAAGAAGACACTTGGATACATTAGCTGGTATGGAAAGGTATTTTCAAGGTTTAACTCAGATATAGTAAACCACGCGGATCCTACCAAAACTTGGAGTTAAGCTTTGGAAAACACTAGTTGGTTTAGCTAAAGAATGTCCAGCTTCAGCATAATGCAGAACCCCAGTAGTCCAACGGAAGAGCTACCCAAATTCAGGAATATTCGAATATGTTAAATGATGGATACCCAACAGTTTTATTAGAAAACTTGGATGGATTGTTTGTTTTAGAAAGAAAATACATACAAG